GTGGTCTCAGTCCCTTGCAGGAGATAGTGTATGATCTCAAGTGATTCCTTTCCTTCTTCCTCACATTTGTAGAAGCTATGCAGAAAATCAGCACTTCTCGACTTTTTTAATAATCAGAAATGTATTAGTCAAAATGTTTCTATTTTTGTGTTTATTATGCCTAAAGGCAAATACAAATTTAAATTGGAAGAGAATAATAAAGCAAATATAATGTAACCTAGAGCTCAGCTTGGCAAGCAGCTTTTCACTGTTTCTTCTTTTAACTATATGATGAGTTGACACTGGCTGGATGCCAGGTGTCCACCCAAGCCGCTCTATCACTCCTCTCCTCAGCTGGACAGAGGAGAGATAATATAAGGAAACGCTCAAGGGTCAAAATAAGGGCAGGGACAGATCACTCACCAATTGCCAACAAGAACAAAATAGACTCAACTTGGGGAAATCAGTTTAATTTATCACCAATCAAACCAGAGTAGGATGACAAATAAGACCAAATCTTACAGCACCTTCCCTCCACATTCCCTTCTTCCTGGGCTTAACTTTACTCCTGATTTTCTCTACCCCCTCCCCCCAGCAGCACAGGGGTATGGGAATGGGGATTTTGGTCAGTTCATCACCCATTAACTCTGCTGCTTCTTCCTCCTCATGAGGACTCCTCATACTCTTTCCCTGCTGCAGCATGAGCTTCTCTCTCCTTGGGCCCACAGGTCCTGCCAGGAGCCTGCTTCAGCATGGGCTTCCTAAGAGGTCACAGCCTCCTTTGGGCATCCCCCTGCTCCAGTGTGGGATCCTCCATGGGCTGCAGGTGGATTTCTGCTCCACTGTGGACCTCCATGGGCTGCAGGGGCACAGCTACCTCACTGTGGTCTGCACCATGCACTACTGGGGAATCTCAGCTCCAGTGCCTGGAGCACCTCCTGCCCCTCCTTCTGCGCTACCTTGGGGTCTACAGAGTGCTTTCTCTCACATATCCTCCCTCCTCTATCCATCTGCATTTGCACAGGTTTTTACCCTGTCCTAAATACATTTTCCCAGAGGTGCTGCCACTGTTGTTGATGGGCTCAGCCTGGTCAATTGACAAGTCCCTCCTTGGAGCCAGATGGCATTGGCCCTGTCAGACACGGGGGAAGATTCCAGCAGCTTCTCAGAGAAGCCACCCCTGTTGCCCACCTGCTACCAAAACCCTGCCATGCAAATCCAATAAAGACTATTTTTTTCATCCTTCTTTCTATTTATAGGCTTTGTCTTCAGCTTTGATAGGTCCCTTTCTGTGAAAAGGTGGTTGGCTACCCCAAGGGCTGTAGACAGAGTAGAGTTAACTTAGAAAGAAATCTGCTCTCAGAACACTGGATACTCAGCTTCTATATGTATTTAGCAGCAAGCAACCAGCAGTGGTAGGATGGATTGCCAAAGAGAAACAAGACGAAAAACGTGAAAGGATTTCTAAGTAACTTTCCTTGTTGAAAGATCACTTTCTGTGTTGAAAGATCACTTTCCAAGGTGTGTTCCCTTGGTGCTGGGATGTTCACAGCAAGTGCACCAGTCTCCTCATAACCTGGACTTTCAATAGATGAGAGGTTAATTTCTCCCAACAGGCATATGATATGTCCATAATTGCATCAAAGCAATGTCATTCTATAGTATTTCTAGATCTGTCACCTAGGAAGTGCAAGCTATAATTAGTGAAAATTTCCTTCTTTCTTCAGATAACAATTTTGTCAGTCACGCAAGCACTGAAGTGCATGAAATCACCGGATTGCGTCACAGCCTCTAAAGCTCCAGAGATATTGAGCAAGTTACCTGTGGAACTTTTGTGCTTGGCTCTTATTATGTATTTAATAATCAGGGATTGTGCAATGATTAAATCCCTGCATTTGGCCATGATCCTTTCAGCTAGTGCCTTCTCATGCCCTTTGCTCTGTCAAAGGAGTCCTAAAACACTGGAAATTACAGAAGGGAATTTCCCCCATTCAGTTCTGTTTTTCCTGTATTGCTGTAATGCTTTATTTTCATCAGTTCAGACAAGGCAGTAATATGCATTAAAGCAACATCTCTTTGTGAGGGTGAATAAACATGGAAATTATGGTTAACTGCCAGTCAATTAACAAGTGTCAATGTTTCTCATTGTAGGGTATAGGTAAAGATATAGACAGTGTCTAACATCCAAGTAGGTAAGAGATGTTTTGGGGTTTCCTATTTTACTCTCTCATGTTTAATATTAGACCTAAACCCATAAAGTGACTATAAGATATAGTCTATCAATCAAATAGTTAATGATCATAAAATTCCTTCTCTATCTCTCTCTTCAGAAGTTAGTGGTGTGTTTTAAGCCTTGCATCTGTAGGTTTTTTTTAGGAGCTGCATGGTCAAATAGGTTACCATTGTGGGGCTACATTTTCAAACCCAATCCCCCCAAAATAATGGCCCTTTTTTCCACTGGTATAGGGGTGTTTATCAAGGCTGAACTATTAAGTCCCTTCAGCACTTCAGACTTTCAGCAGGTCCTTTGGGATAAAAGAGAGGAGCATATTACCTGGATGCAGCAGCCTGGTGACCTGGAAAAGTGCAGATAGAGGGGCTCTAGCTTTGCAGGTGGTGTCTGAGAGCAGTTTGACTCCCCAGCTCTCCTCTCTAACATCCCCAAACTGCTCAAAACTGTCAGTTTCCCTATATATATATATATATATATATATATAACTATTATATGGAAAAGGCTCAGTTTTCCCTGATGCATTTCCTCTCCTTCCATAGCTCTCTAACTGAATGCCTCTGTAGCACTGGCACCTAGCCTGTCTTTGCCTCATCATTTGTAATACTGTTGCCTAAAAACAGCACTTGAATTAAAGCTCCAAGACCCAATTTGTGAGCTTTAAAAGTCAGGCATCCTTTAATCGGCGCTGGGTGCACTGGGTATCATCAGTACATGAGTATTCATTTTTCGTTCCCCTCATTCCTGTTACATATTCACGACATTTCCCAACACTTCGTAGCATATATGCATGTCCTTATAAGGTCTCTGAGGGTCTTCATCTGGGGTCTTCAGTGGTCTCTTTAAGTAACTGCCTTGTGAATGTCTTCAAGACAGTGCACCTGGTTAAAAAATAACTGGGTGTTGCCTTGCTGGCTGCCTCACTTCCGCTCCTCATTGCTTCTTTAAATCACTTGGCTCAGCTATCTGTAGTTTCTATGCTGTAAATACTATCAGTTCTTGTTACATCTCTAAACCCCGACATCAATACACCCAGGAGGGTTTGACCCTGTTCCTTCTGGCCCCTGGAACAACAGGAGGGGAAGCCTAGGAGAGGCTGAACACTTTGTCAATCTGTGTTTTGGTGCTTTGTCTTATTGTGAATGCAGCATCAGGGAGGGAGAGCAAGGTTTGTGGGGGAATCTGAGCAGGGGCAACAGCAGGAGAAGCTTACAGCAAAGTCAAGTCAGGAAGACAAATAAGTTGGGAACCTAAATTAAGAAAAGAAGAGTTAAATGTGACAAACCCAGAAAAAATAATGTGGGCTTGATCATGGCTTGGGAAGGAACCCAAGTTTAAGATCATGCTCAGGGAAGGGCCACACCGAGCTGAAGTATGAGTATCTGCAGGTGTATTCAAACCAGGCTTTCACATCCTCTCCTGGCCAGCCTGTCCCAGTGCTTCACCTGTTGGCCACAGAAAGGGGGTTTCCATGTGGCTAAGGGGAATTTTCCTTTTCACAACTTGGGTCTGATACCCCTTGTGCTTTGGCTGTGCCCCTCTGAGGAGACTCTGGCACAGCCTTGCAGGCCCCAGGGCAGGGCAAAGACAGCTTCCCTCGACCCGGCAGCCCCCTTGCTGACCCCTCCACGTGCAGCCTTTGAATTGCAGCAGTATTAAGACACTAAACACAGGGAAACTAGGCTGGAAGTCTGGTTGGATCAGGGTGGGCAACAGTCGCCATCCACTTGTTCCCAAGGAAAAATGAATAATCACCTCCCTTGAACACATAAGCACCTCTCTGTTTCTATCTATTTTTTTGCCCCCTGTTTGCATTATGGGATTGTAAAGGTAAAGACTGATAAGATACAGTGATGTGTCATATCAGGACTAGCAGACCTTTCTTCAGCCATTTGCATTAAAACCCTTTGGGTATTTTTTTTATATTACTTTGTGCAAATAAACTGAAGGCACTTTGTACACAAGAAGTACAAACAAAACGACAGTGCTCCTGAAGTTGGGGCCCCCCTCTTGGCTTTTGTTCTAAATCTAAATCTTAACCTTATCCTAATTTCCTAAATCAAACAAACCATGAGATAAAAGGAGCACCATAAGCACAAGTCCAGCTGCCACAGGAGGAGGCATGATGCCAGCCTCGGTCACTGGTGGAGTGACAAAAACTGCCTGGGGGCAGGAGTACAGGGTGAGCACTGCCTTCGTGGTGTCATTGCTGGGGTATCCAAACTGCTGGTGCTTAAGTAGCAGTGTCAAAGTTCAGACAAGACGATTCTCTCCAAAAAGCACTGAATGGAGAGGAAATAGAGCTACAGAGTCACAGGGGAGACTTGAGATGCAAGGCCACCTCCATCTAGACAACAGCACGGCCTAGGAAATGGCATAAGAAACAAGCTGGGTATGGGTGAAACAGATTTGAAATCTGTGTGTAAATGAAAAAACTATCAAGCCAAACTGTCCTAATTCAGGTATTACCATTGTAGTTAAGGTAGTTTGAGCCATTGCCTACTGTGGACAGATACTCCTCAAAACAGCACAGAAATAGCTGCATACTGAGAGCACTGACCTTTACGTATTTTTATGGCATTTCACTATGATCCATAAAACAGTTACATCAGGGCATGGGTTCTTTGTTGCCTCCTCCCTTGTCCCTTTGGCCAGAGGCTGTGGCTCTCCAGAGAAGCATCTCCAGCATGTGTAGTGCCCTGCACACTGCAAGGCTGCTGATGTATACCCCAGCCATATAAGCTTCCCTAAATTCTGGCTATTGTATAGAGAAATTGTTTTCTCTGAATAACAATGTGTTCTAGAGCTCAAGCTGTTTACAGTTCTAGAAAGAGTTACTGGCAGTCTGTGAAGGATGATCGTGTTCCTGAGCTCTGCTTCAAGAGAAGCCACTTACAGCTCAGGTTACTCTATAAGCAGCTGGAGCTGGTAGCAGCTCCTGTGTACACTGGCCGACCGGGACATGGCCTGCAGCCAACCCATTATTTTCACACAGATCCCTAAACAGCACGGGAAAGTACCGTCCTTCAGCGGCAGCTCAAACAGTGTGCTTGCAGTGATGACAGAGCCTCTCCCCGGTGGTTTCTCCAGAGCCATGTGAGGCAATTGTAAGATTCCGTGTTTTTGTTGAATGTTCAGGAGTCACAGTACTCAGGTACGGTTTGGGATGGGAAAGCAACAAGCTACAGCTCTTGTTTATGAAGCAGCATTAATGCATTCTGGACAGCACAGATTCGGTGGAAAATACAGGCCCTATCTCAGGTTGCTTTTAAGCTTGGTCTATTTTAAATGAAATAGTTCAGATGTGTAATAAATGAGCTGAAACTGATGACAGCAAATACATGGTATAGGAAGCTGAAGAAACCTATTTCCATGAACACTCAATATTGCTCACATGTCCTTGCCAATACTACAATCTAGATTTCAGAAAGCGGTAATCTGCAAAGCCTGATGTTACTGTGTCAGCCAACCAGCAAATATTAATGTAGTGCTTTGGTATCATCACAGCTAGTGACCCAGCTCCTGTGAGCACACCATACTGAAATGAATCTGGCTGGGTCAGCCCACCTCCATCAGCCCCCAGGCTGGGTTTATTAAACTAGAACACAGCAGACCCACAGTTTCTGTAGGTAACATAGAGAGTTACCTACATTTGACTTTCCTCATTTCACAACCCACACTCCAACCCCTAAAGGTACACGTCCTTCACCCACAGAACCATTACCTCACAGTCGATTTCCTTTTCTTTTAGACTGAATCTATTAAGCTACTTAAAAAAAAAAAATGTTCCCCAAGCACACTGTTACACTCTTATCTCCGGTTGTAGTACCAGGAAGGTGTGCTGGGGCCAAATCAGGCACGATGGAATTTGCCGTGGGGAAACCCGGCACTGATGACAGTGGAACCCGCCCGCGTGTGAATTCCCGTGGCTCCTGCCACCCCTTTATAAGCAGGTGGAGGTGAGGCAGGGCTGGCAGAACAGGCAGGCAGCAGCCGAGCACTCACTGGAGCACAGCTGTGTGTGTGGACTGGGAATGGCTGGCTTTAGCAGCAAGAGCATGGTCCTGGTCTCCCTGATGGGGCTCCTGGTGCTGCTTCTGTGTGGCACCTCCGAAGGTGAGTGAACTCTGGCGTTCTGTCCCTGGAAGCGGCTCTTGGTGCTGCTCGCAGTTGGCAGTAGGAGGAGGGTGAGGTGGGGGGGAATGGTTTCAGCAAAGTATGCTGCCTCATCCTCCTCTTCTGTCAAGAGGGAGCTGGATAGCTGGGTACAGCGAGTACTCAGACATCACAGCAGCATGAGCCAAATGGGTTTTATTTACTTTGCTGTTTTCCTTCATTCCAGCACACAACAATCATGATTGCTGCCTGTCTTACACCAAAGTGCGTCTGCCTCGGTGGGCCCTGAAGGGTTACACTGAACAGCTCTCCAGTGAAGTCTGCGATATCCCTGCAATCATGTAAGTTACTTTTCAGAACATCCCCCAGTTTTTCTGATACGTATTAACCTTAGGATGTCTGTTTGGGCAGGAACAATTATATGAATAATTTTTCTTGCTTTTTCAAAAAGCTAAATTAACTAAATAAATTGTATATAATAGCTGTAAACAAAACACACAACCTCTAGTTGACAGGGATTATTAACTCATGGGACAGCCATACAATGTAAATAATAAATTCCTGACTGTTTAGGAATCAGCTGTGCAAACAAAGACGTGCTTCGTTTCCAGCTGAGGGCCACTCTAGCCAACACAAGGTGTTCCCTTGCCAAGACCTGTTAGCAGACACACAAGTGACAAGAGTTCTCTTAATTCACAGGGATCGGAATTCCTTTTCCACAAGGTTTTGCCCCTCCTAGATGTTGATCTGTCACCTTAGTTTGACAGCAACTCAGAATCTCAGAAATTATTTCTGGTATCCAGCAAAGGTCTTTGTCTCAATGGATCAAATAAATTGAACACAACTTTATGGTGCAAACAATGATCTCTGAGACTGAAGCAGCTATTACATTTAAATTTCATTAGGTGTTTCTTTATGTTCATATAATATTGGAGGAGTTTGAATTATCCCATATCTAAAAGGCATTTAAAAAGCACTTGTTATTGTTCATTATACAGAGCAACTATGACACTTTTTTTGACAAAATGCATCTTCGCAGTATTTACTAGCAGGGATTTCTAATTATTTACTGATTTCTTTATCATTATTTCTTTTCCAGTTTCCACACCAACAGTGGGCTGAAGGCCTGTGTAAATCCTAATGAAGGCTGGGTGAAGAAGCATCTTCTTTTCCTCAGGTAGAAATCTAAACATCTAAATAATGACAGGCTGATTGAAAACAGGGCATGTATGAAAGCTTGTTTCTCACATCTCCTGATGGCGTTGGTGAACACATTTGTCTTTCTATCTCCTGTTAGAATTGGCTACTCCTTTTTAGAGTCTTCTCTGGGACAGTCATGTCACATGTCCCTTTCTCTACCTGAACTGTTCTCTCAGAGAAGAAACCTATAACTGACCTGTGGCTGAGGTCTTTATTTATGTGTGTTCTCTCTTTTTTTCAACAGCCATAAGCTCAAGAAGATGTCAGTCTGATATGGTTTCCAGCTAGGAAATAAACACAGACGTGGCTGAAGAATCACCAGGTTCAACCTCTTGGTTGAGATTGTCTTGTACACTGTTGTGTGCTTGCTCACCTCCAACTCAGGCTTCTTTGGAACTGTGGAACTTCTCCAGTTGATTCATATTGCATCTCCGGTTTGCTTGAATTAAGCATTTTGTTACAGTTTCTATTTTTACTAATATGTGAACTAATATGGCATGATATTATTTAGTAAAGGCTGCCTTAAGCTGTTGTACAGAGTATTAAGTTTATTGCATGTTGTTTTTGTTTTGTTCCACATGTGTAAAGTGGCTTATTTATTCTATTTATTTTATTACTGTCTTGTGCCAAAATGTTTCCTTTTAGCTGTAGTTAGCATTATAATACTTCTTGAACTATTGTTAAAGAAAGTCTGCCTGTGGAAAAAAAAACATGGAAATTGGAGTTTAAAAAAAATAAATGTTAAAATTGGCACCCTCTGTGTGATATGTTTATTTTTTAATTAAAACACGTGACTTCCCTTTGAAATGAATCCCTCTGCTTATGCGCCTCCAGCTGAAACAATTACACAAGTGTGTTGACACCTGTTAAAGGCACTTTCCACCTTGCTCACTTTGTTTGCCCTAGGGGTAGCTATGACCTCCACAGGATGTAATTGCTTCCCTACCCCCAGACAACTGCTATAAATCAAGCTTTTGCTTAACATGAAGACCTGTTCTTAGCTCAGTTTGATTTTAATTGGACTTGAGAGACTTTCTTTTACACGTTTCTCTATTTATTGAGGAGGAACCTTACACATACTGTCACTGGGCAAGCTTCTAGCCTGAGGAGGACTGATTATGGTAACAGTCTGCTCTCAACTTAAAGGACTATCTCTAGAGGAGAAATTTGCAGTGCTTTTCTGCCCTTTTTATGTTTCCTATGGTATCCTATGGCTTCTATCATAATGAGGTTTTCTTGGTGCAGGATCTCTTGATGGAGGTCAGTGATGCCTGACAAAAGTAATGAGACTTCATGGAAGGTAGGAGATGGGTGCAGGTTGAATGGGGAAGGCTGCTCAGCTTTTTACATATTATTACATGGCCAACATGAAATTCAGGGATGTGACCATGTAGGCTGTGTAGTCCTCTCAGTGTCAGTATTGGAGTCTTATGGATAAATTCACACCTTGGCTTGGTACCTTTTAGTCATAGAGATACAAGCATTAATTTTAATTTAAACTTAAATAGAATATATTTTGGTGCCCTTGAGAGAGGAGCTGACGTGAATCAGGTTTTTAAAATGGTGGTCGTGAGTGGAAGGCTGTTATGTTCTGGTTTCAAAACCTGCTAGGACTTAAACAATCTGCTTGTCACTCTGCCAACCTGGGAACTGTCAGTTCTCTGTGAGTGAAGCTCTGAAGGAGCAAGATAATTTAGCTTTAATTGCCAGCAGGTGGGTTCCATGTCCCTGATATTGAGGATATCAGGTGAGAAGCTATTAGTTTTCCAGGGAGGAGCTATTACCCAGCATGTTCCCTAACTTTTCCCCCATATCTTCTAGAACTGGTGTGGGTTCCTGTTTGGGATCAGAGAGTTTGTAGGCTAAATCAGCTACCAACAAAATGGTACAGACAAGACTAATGGATCTGTGTTAAAAGTGTCAGAAGGTGAAGTTCCCCAAGCCTACCCTGGGAACAGGTGAGCATTGCTGGAGATGTTAGGAACCAGAGCTGTAACGAACTTGGTGCAGAAAAGCCTAGAGACCAAGCCAGTGAATTCAAAGCAGGGGAGCAAAATAAGAAAGTGAAGACAAATGTGGGAAATTCTGTGGGTGGCTCTTTACTCCCTAGTTGGGCCTGTTAAAAGTTTTGTATTGCTTCTGTAACTTGTCCTTCCTCTGGTCATCCATGGTTGCATTGTTACAAAACTCTACATGCTTCATCCATAGAGCTATGACTTGTGGGATATCTTTTTAGTTCCTTTTATTCTGGTTGAACTTTTTTTATATCCAACCTCTTTTGAAAAAAAAAAAGAACATATTTCTTTCTATGCTTAGTATCAGAAATGGATAAGGTTGTTATGCTACTGGTACAAAAGTCTGTGTAAAAATAACATGTCCCTCCATTAATTCCTGAGGATACAAACAGGTATAAGCAAGTGCTGCATTTCCAAAATCATCAGATCAGAGGCACATTTTTGTAAGTAACTTTAAGTGCTCAGTTAAAAGTTCTGACAGCTCTGTAAATCATGACCATTTCTAGGAAAACTTGAATCCCAATTACTTTGGTGGGACTGTTTTGCATCTATGTAGGTGAGTTTCTTTTGCCTCTCTATTTTTGGCCTTCAGCTTCTAATTCAGCATGTGCAATTTTGTTGAATAATTTGAGATGCAGTACTAGATGACAATGGTAATTTGGGGACTTTTGCACTTCAATTTACATAATTTTTCAAAAACCAAATTATTTTTTCTTGCAAAATGCTGAGGCTTTTTATTGCAGCTTGGATATCACTTGGGAAGTGGGTGTAAGAGCTTTCCCTTCAACTTCCCTTCAGCACAACTTCATACTTCAAAGTCTCCTGCTTCTGCTGTACTGAGGCCAGTCCTCAGTGATTCTTGTGCCAGCTGGAGTATTACTATTGAATTCTATTTGTGCATATTCTTTCTGTGTGCTTTTTGTTTGTTTGTTTATTTTTGGTGGGTTTTAAAAAAATAATTATGTTTTTGCTTCTTTTTTAATTTCTTTTTTTCCTTCCACAAAGCAATCTCACACCAGTCCCAGTCAAGACACTGCAATGTTTTGTTTTGTTAGGATCTTTGACAGAATACTTTCTGTTTACATAAGAATCATAATTAGATTTACTAATTTCTTATTTTTTTTAATCCCACCCCTGCACAAAGCAACAAAATAACTATGCGTGGAAACTGATTTTTGTAAGGAATAGCAAATCTTCTGCTGATTTAATTTTGCTGGAAAAATATAAAACCTGACACATTTCACCTGCTAGGCAAGTACTAAGAAGTTATTTGTAGCTTCTAGCTATCAGTTGAAGGCTGGTTTTTTGTTCCTCATCTATTTTTTCCACCTTCCACACAAAGTGGGGTTGTAAAGCACCTGCAAATCCAAGAGACAAATGGGTGAAGACCCTTGTCCTGCAGTGTGCATGTTTTCAAGTATATCTGAAACCCAAGCACTACTGGGTGTGCTTAGTGTCAATGGCACTTTTAGCTCCTAGGGATGTTGATAATTGGTCAGTTATTTTCAATCACCAACACCAATGAGCCCATATGTAGCCTGACTTCACTCCTGATGATTTGGAATGCATCATTCTGTAATTTTGCTGAGAATTGAATCAGAGAACTCATGAACCAAGAAGGGCTTTAAGCTTGTGACACTGTCACTTGATTCTAATGGCATCCATCCAGCTGGATAAACATCAAACCAATACAGATGGATCAATTGTAACAAGCCTTCTGTATGCTGAGTCAATATGTGTTACACCCTGGTAGTCTTGTTCCAAATACCAGGCTACAGGCAACATTCTATGCCAAAATATGAATCATAAAAGAAGCTTTTATCACCAGACTAAATCCAGTGCATTGTTCATGCTAAGTTTACTATGCAATTATAGTTGTATGACTGTACATAAATGAAAACTATGATCTGTGTTCCCATGATGTCGTGGTTGTTCTGTTCTGGGAGGTGTCGGCCTTAACTGTGCAGTGTTGCAGTCCTAACTCTGTAAAGGCTTTTCAATTGCTGTGTTTCTTCCTTCTGAATTTCCAACTGCAGATAGCTTCCAGCCAAAGCTCTCCTAGAGCTGCTGGTGTTAGAACGTTTAAACACAGTATACAATAGGTGCAGTCTTGTGGCTGCTATCATACATTAACCATAGTAGCTCATGTAAATGAATCCAGGCACTTGTTTAATAGTCTTCTAGCTTCCTTGAATTTAAAGCATTATTCAAAGATTATGCAATCAAAAATACATATTAAATGTAAAAGCAGCAGATGAAATTTAGAATACTGTATGGTTAAAACAGAAATATGTCACAGGGAAAGTAGAGACTAAAGTACTATTGTTAATTCTTCTTATTAAAACAGCATTCTGTAGTTTTGTTTCTATGGCTTCAGTTATACCCCCAAAATAAAGTAACAATTTTATTTGTAAGCACCTGCACCTACATTTCCATGTTCCTGAAATTTTGCTGCACCCTAACTTTACTGCTGGAGATGGATGTAATGGCTCACAGCCTTTAGAGAAGATTTAGTGTGTTCAGGCCAGCATTAGCTCTTTCCTGTGCCACAGTGAATGAGAAGACACACAGAGGTAGCTGTAATAAGATATCAGATATTCTCTTCTGTTAGTATTTGGTAAGACATTCTCACAGTAAGAATGAGGGAGAGAGAAAAACCAACTTCTGGAAATGGGAACAGTGTGGCCCAGCACTTGGGATTCCTGGTGAGAAAGCCTGAATGACAAGATCCATGTGACAGACAGCTACAGGATAAAGTAGCTTAGGAAACATGAAACATTGAAATAGTCAAGTTGGGGTACCATGATTAGTGAAGCCATATACCAAAGTGTACAAAACAGTGCACAAAGCATTTCTAATTTCTTAGCCAAAATCTCGGTACACTTGTGATTCAAGCTGTAACTGTCTTGTTTCCTAGCAACATGCCCATAAGCAAAGAAAGGCAGAACATTTATGTGTAGGCAAAAATGTTATGTGTAGGATGGCCTAGTACAACAAGTACTTGACTCTTCCTATAGCTTTTGGATGACAAAATTTAGTCAAAACATGTTGTTCTGAGCGTGGCTTGCAAGAGAATAAACTCTGTACCAAGAATTCATATACACAACTATTGAGGTGACAGCAGATGGCATCCAAAGGTACCAAGGGCAGAGAAACATTGCAATCTGTTAGGAGCTACAGACTCATACCTGGGGGGAACAGCAGGTGCTATGCACTGACTGATCAAGCCATCTAATTTGAGTTGTGCCAGTGAGATGGGTTCAAGTGAGTGGTTCAATTTGCAGTGAAACTGTCAATTAGAGTGTCAAGATTAAACTAGTAATTTAATATCCTTACAGCATTATTGGTCAGGAACAAAGCTGCTGATAACACAATAAACTTACAAGGTAGAAAAATGGGAATTTGATAGATTTAACATGGCAGATAAATCAAGCTGTAGAGCAACTTCCAAATGTGGCAGTATCTCATGTATGAATAAGCTGTGTTATACAGCTGTATTTAGGGAATATAAATCAAAATGTTCATGTAAAAGTTTGCCATGCATATTTGAAAAATAATATTTTAGCTATATGTCCTACTACAGTGATTTGTTTTTTTCAAATGTACATTTAATAGAGCTGGTTCAAAAAGATGATTGTGTTCCCATGAGCATCTGAATGTTTCATGTTGTTATGACTCAGAGTAAATGGTGAAAATGTCTTTCAGAGATGATGCAAATCTCAAAGATATAT